AACTTTAAAGAACATAAAAAACCAGTTGATAATACTTTAGTTTGGTTTCATTATTTATTTGATGAAAAGAATATGGTGGCACTATGTAAAAAGTGTTCAAGGGTTATTAAAGTGAATGGGGGAAGTAAAGGGTGTTTTTTTAAGAGGTATAGAACTTTAAATTGCAGTAAAACAACGATGTATTATTCGATTGACATGAATTTTTTTATTCGAAAGATAACCTTGTGGCATTACATTTTAAATATGATTTCTGGCATAGGACTGCCACGGCTGGCTCGGATGTAGTCCAATCTGGACGTCCAATTTTCGATGACTTTTTCCAACATTTGTGGCCGTATATCGGCAATAACACGGCGAATGTTGTCTTCCAAATGGTCAAGCGTTTGTGGCTTATCCGCATAGACCAATGACTTTACATAGCCCCACAAAAAATAGTCTAGCGGTGTTAAATCACAAGATCTTGGAGGCCAATTCACAGGTCCAAAACGTGAAATTAGGCGGTCACCAAATGTGTCTTTCAATAAATCGATTGTGGCACGAGCTGTGTGACATGTTGCGCCGTCTTGTTGGAACCACAGCTCCTGGACATCATGATTGTTCAATTCAGGAATGAAAAAGTTAGTAATCATGGCTCTATACCGATCACCATTGACTGTAACGTTGTGGCCTTCATCGTTTTTGAAGAAGTACGGACCAATGATTCCACCAGCCCATAAAGCGCACCAAACAGTCAGTTTTTCTGGATGTAACGGTGTTTCGACATACACTTGTGGATTAGATTCACTCCAAATGCGGCAGTTTTGTTTGTTGACGTAGCCATTCAACCAGAAGTGCGCTTTATCGCTAAACAAAATTCGCTTATGAAAATCGACCATTATTTTCGAAATAAAATTGCACAATTTGAAAGCGTTGTTCAGGCGTGAGTCTATTCATGATGAATTGCCAAACCAAACTGAGAATAAATCACTTGACAGCTGTTAAATCGGTCGCCATCTTGGAAAGTAATGCCAACTTAAACTTCTATACCTGGAAAAAAACACTCTGTACAAGCGGACTCCAAATACATTTAAAAACGAAACCTAACACAAATTTGTTAAAGAGGAAAGAATCTAATTGTGATGAAGATACAAATTAAGCACAGTTTCTAAACCCAAGCCATCGGGGATTTTAGAATATTTTGAAAGAAAGATAATTTGGCTAAAATTATAAGTAAAATGACAGCATTAGATGGTTTGCCATTGCTAACAGTACCATCCAGTAGCGCAGATGCCGGAAGAGCTTCTTCGACAGCTGATAAGTTTTGCTCAAAATTACCTTCTAGGCTTAATGGCAGTACAATTGATGCGTTATGTTTTCTAAGATCACATTTCAAAAATTTGTAATAGTACTGCATAGTGATACTTACATTTTTTTGTGATTTAAATAAATAAGATGTTCCTTTACTTTTTTGTGATTCTTTATATACTGTTATAATTTATAAATTACAAATTATTTTTTGTGATATTTGCACTCTCTAATAAAACTGACAACTAAAACAAAGAAACACCTGTATTTTTTCTTTCTTTTTTCTAAAATTTCTACTCCCGGTATTAGGATCTAAAAAGTACCAAATACCGGTATTGAATTTGTGATACGATATTGCAATCCCTACAAGCACCGTACTTGTCACTTTAAGTCTGTGGTTAGCCGTGGACACCCACTTCTGAACCTTGCTTCTTTGCTATACATACTTAAGCAGACACCCGATCTCTTTTAAAAGGGTGAATATTTTTCACTGAAAATACACCATCAGTGGGGTTTACACCGTTTCGATACATTCATTCTGCGAATACTCGAAATTATTTGACCCTGATTGGTGTCCTGGTTATTCTTTTCAGTCCATCCGTTGATATGCACACCAGTGCAATTATTCGATTCAATTGAAATTTATGGCAAAAAACTGATGAACATAATTTATTCTTTTTTGTTGTTGTTCAATGTTTTGTTCCCATGGAAGCTATTCTTAAATCACTGTAGTTTTTATTGTGTATTATTCTTCTTACATAAATTTTTTAATTTAATTATATTATAGTGTTGTCTATATTTTAATTTTTAGGAAGGGGTACCAACTCTTCGATTGATCGGTACCTTGTTTAAATGTATCCATGGTCATGCATTTAAAACTGGTTTTTTTTCCTGCTCATGCTTTAAAATATACTTATATGTTTCATATTTAGAATACTTCTATAAATATTTTTCATACTTTTAATACTTATTTGTATACTAATTACTTAAACTGTTATGAATATTTCTTATTCTATGGATAAAATCGTAATAATAACAATGGAATACAAGTACATTGTAATTCCCTACAGAACACTTATTTTCTATCTTTCTTAGTTACACGAAAATGTAGAAGACCTTTTCCTCCCATTTTTAATTGCCATCTTTTAGTCTCATAACACAATAGAACTTTAGCGTCTGTGAATTTCTCTCCCATTTTTTTTACATTCCAAAATACAACCTTTAGGATATTCCAGCTTACAATTTTATATTGATCATAATTTATTTAAAATTAAATTCAAAACATTTTAACCTGATCAAAATTGCTTGGTATTTCAACATTTTGCGATATTTATGATGTAAACATCTTCTTGCTACATCAAAATTTTTACTTAGGTTTACTGGGTGATGTTGTACCTGTTCCTGGCCACCATCAGCATTGCCACCACTGCCTCTTTTCTGTACAGTCCCATGGAAGGGTGGACATACTTCGACTGCTTATACTTTTGCTTCGTCACCTTCTCCACCATCGGCTTTGGTGATTTGGTCACTTCCCAAGAACCTCACTACCCGCACGTGGCCCTGTACCGGGTGGCCAACTTCGCCTTCATTGTGTGCGGATCCTGCTGCATTTACAGCCTCTTCAACGTCACATCCATTGTAATCAAGCAGTTCCTTAACTGGCTCATGAAGACATTGGACTGTTCTTGCCGTTGCAGACCAAAGAAACCTCCCGGAAGACCTCAACTGTTGGCCAGAGGTCGGCGGAATGCTATCACCCCATATCATCTGAGGAATCAGGTAGGTCATGATTGAATTTTCATTTTAAAATACGAGAGTAAGCACATTTTTACCATTGGGAATGCGGGTATTAAGATTAGCTGATGTCGTGGAGTGCCGATGTTACTTTGGAGATGATCACTAACGAGAAGACTACACTGAGATATATTCAAGACGACTCGGTTTCAGGCTGAATATTTAGGCGGTATTCAGGAGCCTGGTCAGATTCGTGAGCGGATTTTCATTTTGTGTATTTTTAAAGGCGGATTATGTCATGCCTTTAAAAGGATATACGTAGGTTGATGCAGAATGTTTTCTGTTGGACGTAGCCGAGATTACTGTTCGGCCATTAGTTCCTTGTCACCCCACTCGAGGTGGATCTTAAATCGGAGACTGACGGTTTGACCAAAATAAGGTTGACTTGTTACGTGTCAGCATTGTCCTATTCCGAATACTTTCCCTGAATAGGACAATGCATGTTAAGGAACGAACATTCTTCATGTTAGTTCCTTAACATGAAGAATGTCCTTCAGTAGAAACCACCGTAGGAACTTTGCAAACCTCTTGTTACTTATTGAAATCAGTTGTTGTTGTTGTCGTGCGTTTCATCCTGGTATACATACGAAAGAGAGAGAGATTTACAGAAACATATAATACAATCACAGAATAATATAGACCAGGGGTCGACATCCTTTCAGCTGTGGCGTGCCAAACCAATCTACTAATATAATTCGGCGTACCACACAATAGAATATTTTGAATTTTTGAAAAAAATTTGAAACAATTCGATTCCCTCGATAATGCATACAGAATTAGGAAAAAGAGATCAAAAATATAGATTGACAGTTTTATTATATATTAATTTTGCATCTTTTAAATATACTTCTTAACATAATAATAAACAGCATAAAATATAACTATTTCTTCAATAAAAACAAAAGAAATTAAAATTGTACATGTATAATATATTTTTAACATATTTATTAAAAGAAACAAAAACATAAAATATAAATATTTCTCTTCCTTATAGTTAAATAAAACGATAAATAAAATTTTCAATGCGAATAAAATTTTCATTTCTACTTTCATATAGCAAAATCCGGGGTCATTATTTGTGATTTTCAATTTGACAAGATTCTGAGAATTCAGTTGTTAAACAATTTCTTTGGGGACTCGAAATATTTTTCATATAAGGAAAGATTTTAGAACCAAAAGCGGGAAACAGAGTACATGCAATTTTCTCTCTTCAAAGAATTAAATCTCTCAAGAAACGACATTCAATAACTTACAAAATAGCTGTTGTTGTTGTTGTGTCCTTCCCCAAGGGAAGAAATGAAAGTTGCCAGAGCCTCAGACAGGTTAGACTTCCATACGATAGATGTTGACACCACCTATCTCCCCCTCTACAATTTAGGCATGAAACTGGAGGGGAGGGAAATATTCTCCAGCCGCCTGCACCCATAATTTCTGCTGCGACCACCCACAAGACTTTCGGACCCACTGATTTAATGAACACGTACTCCGTGTGTACTCGGAGGACATTTGGTGGCATCGGGCATCGAACCCAGGCCCTCTGGTCTGGAGTCCGGTGTCCCTGCCACTAGGCTACCCTCGGCCCCAATACAAAATAGCTGTAAATTTATCTTTAGTGTTATCTTTCAAAAATTTTCCTAATTCTGTAAAGGTCCATAATTTTGAAGATGTTTATCCAATAAGGTCCTTTACAAATTTATCAATTTTCATCCATTCAAATATTGATAAATTTGTAGAGTAATGTACAGTGCCATTGAGAATTATACCACGTACCACATGTGGTACGCGTGCCATAGGTTGCCGACTCCTGATATAGACTTTGTTACGAACAATGATCTCAGCATATAAAAGCAATGTTTTCCATTCAAGACGAGAAACCATTTTAGGCGAAAGTTGGACTTCTTTTTCCGAAGAAGATACAACCCTGCCGTACTCGGGATTCAAACCCGAGATCACTCGATTAGAATCCGAGTGTCCTAACCATCGGGCGGCACCGAAATCAGTATAGCTGCTATAATAACCTTAAAATTCCCTAAATTATGCGTGTAAAGATTTTCTTTTTACGCATGCGTCAGCGTGCTTGTGTTATTATTTCTCTATAGTGGATACACATCATTCGCCAAATAATTTATAAAAATATACCTAAGATATGTTGGATCGATGCTTTTTCTTCTAAGGACTTTTAACTGAATTGAAAAAATATTCATTAAGAAATATAGACAGTAAGTTCATTCAATAAAATCTCTCAATCTCTATTTCAGCATAACTCTATAATGGCCAATTCTGAAATGAAGTTCAAGAATTGGCGTCAGAGAAATTTCAAGATAAGTTTTGATTCTAAACAAAAATTTTCATAAGTTACAGAAAATTATTGCACATTTCACTTGATTAGTTTTTTCCCTGTAAAAAATTAATCTATTAAATTCATTGCAGTTTACTTGGCAAACCCCTCTCGATTGATTGATCTGAATATCGAATTAACAAAAGTATAACTTTAATTGTAACATTCAAATTTATTAAAAATTCTAAAATATATGACTTGGTTATATTTGAAAGGACAAATAAATGTGTTGACCCCTTAATTAATCTCTAAGGCTGCTTTGTGATATTTGAAAATGATCCTTTCTGCTTTTGTAGAAATGTAGCGAATAGAGAGAGTAGAGAAAGAGTCGAAGAGCGAGAGGGAATAGAAGTCAGAGTAACTCTACGAAAAGAGATTCAGAACTCCTGAAATGTAGCCCGTTATGACATATCTACTGCTTACCCAAATACTTTTGGGTTAAGTTAAGCTGTTCTACGTATTTTTATTCTGATATAGATTATTCAAAGATTGAGTCATCTGGTTAAAATCGAATCCTTCTTGAGTGAATGCATCTTACTACCAACGAAGCGAATTCGCTACCACCAGACAAAAAGAAATTGCACTTTTTTTTGTACATACTTTCAGACTACTTTTTTAAATGCATTCGTCTATTACCAGTAGCGCACACAGGAATTTTACAAGGGGGAAGGGGGGTCCGCGGTCGGAAGTTCACCTTTCTTGTATCATGCTCCTTCTGATTTTGTCGATTTTCGGGAACAAAACACAGTAAAAAAACTAATTATTGAATAAATAATTAGCATTAATTAATAAATTAATCATTAACAACGAATACTTAATTAAATTTTACGTAATATATACTTAGAATTATAATAAATCGGAAAAAAATCAAGGCCTATGGGGAGGGTCCGGCCCCCCAGGACCCCCCCCCTTGTGTGCGCCATTGTCTCTTACTCTTTGTTGAACGAAGAAACCTGAAATGTACACGTGCAATAGGGGACGTCATAAGTCACGGCCTTGCCTCAGCCTTAAGAAGATAATTTCAAGGGTCAAATGTTTTTCTGGTTGTATTCTCGAAAAAATTGGGAATTTCAATTGAATGACATAGGTCATACACTATCATTACTCCTTCAGTGAAAAGATGGCAGTCGGTTTGTGCGATTTAATTTATTTGTTTCAGGTTACCGTTTGTACAAGCATTTGAAAACGTATGCTATGTACTGTCTAATTTTAAGGCTCATATGTGGAGCCTATATTTGAGTAGAGGCCCAGGACCTCAAAAAGACATCTCTGCGTGCACAATGTTGTTATCTTTCGATAAAAACGATTCCCATAAAAATCGTGAAATATCTCACTTCACCGTAGTACTCTTCTGATTAGCGACCAGTATGACATGAAAGTTCATGGTTATTTTTAAAAGAGACCCTACGCCGAAATCAGATTTCTAGAAGGGTGTTTTCCTTCATGTGGGCGAGAAATGAAGGATCGATAAATATTGTTTTGAAAAAGCGTGCATGTATTTTAAAGAATCCAGAAAGTCTTTTGATTTGGGACATGTTTAAATCCCATCAAACGAATAGTACGAAGAAATTACAGACACAGTGCAACACAAAGGTTATCCAGGGACGCCTTAATGAAACCGGGGCCTCGTCCTTGGTGGAGACTTGTCTTAATAAGATAACGATTGGAATAATTTTAATGGTCAAACATTATTCCCGTACATATTCTCCACAAAAAAGTGAATCTCCAACTGGTGAAAGGGGTATATTATTATGTGATAACCATTGTAGAGGCTTAGGCCTAATATCATAAATAATCATTCAACTCATTGGTCAACCATCGGTAGAGCCGCTTTGTACCCAAGTTTTTGATATTGCTTATTTGTTTCATTTGACAATACATGCTGTATACTGTCTGCTTTTAAAGATCTCAGGTAGGTGCCACTTTTGTAAATGGGCCCATGACCTCAAGATTTCTCTGAGTCCAGGTCCTCAAAGAATCTTAGCACGTCCCTGCTGTTATCCCAGAGACACCTTAAGGCATGAGCTAACTGGGCCCAGGGCCTCGCCCTCCGTGAGGACTTCGTTTTGTTCTCGTCTTAATAAGATAATGATGCGGATAATTTTAAAGATCAAACATTATTCCCGTACATTTTATCCAAAAACAAGCGAATCTCAAACTGCATGTCAACTGGCAAAAGTGATAAGACTGTATTATTATGTGATGACCGTTGTCGATGTCCTAGTACTAGAAACGATCTCATTGAGTCGAAATACGGCCATTGGTCTAGTCGGTTTGCTCCCAGGCTTGTGAGTCCTGCCCATTTCATTGCTTCACATCACCATTTGTACGAGTATTTGACAATGCACAGTACTGTGCAAATTAATTGGGATAAACATATTTTTGAAGAAAAGTTTTCCTTTCTCGGGGATTTTCTGCCTCAAACCGGTTTCAACTGCATTTTCTTACAATGCACAACTGCCCTTCACTAGTCTAAACTGATTTGACCACATGATCATGACATGGAGACATTTTTTCCCTTCATTGCTGAAAGAAGTGGTCGTTTGTGTTGATGTCTCTTTCTGACGTGTATTTAAAAAATTAATATCGCTCCCAGGAAAAGGACTAAAATTGTTACCCTTTGTCAGCATACTTCTATGACTGTGAGGGATATTGCTGTAGCAGTTGGAGTAGGAATATCCAGTGTTTCTGGGATTATTAATCAGCAAAAGAATTTCGGGGCAGTATCTCCAAAACGAAAGAGTAAATGTGGACGTAAACGTAAAACTATAACTCGAACAGACAAATTTCTTGTACGAAGTAATACAATGCATCCTTATAAAACAAGTAGAGATCTTTAGAGATTATTATTAGCTACTAGTATGAACGTGGATTCATCAACAGTTCGACGAAGGCTTATTGAAGCTGGAAGATTTGCAAGAAAACCAATCAAAAAACAGTTATTAACACCTGCAATGAAGATAAAACCTTTGGATTGGGCCCGGAAATATCAGTCCTAGACTGCACAAGATTGGAAAAAGGTTGTATTCAATGACGAAATGCATTTTTTGGGGCAAGTGTTTCGACCAAGATTTGTCAGACAAAGTGGTGGAGAACCCATCAGAGAACAACATCTTATTCAAACATTTAAGCACCCTAGGAAACAGATGTTTTGGGGTTATTTTACTTCTGGAGGAACAGGCAGCTTAGTACCAGTTGAAGGGACGATGAACTCTAAACAATACACTAGTACAATAAAAAGTAAAATTGTGCCTATGATGCAAATGTTCACTGGTGGTGTTGGTATCCTTCAACACGATCTTACTCCATGCCATACTTTCTCTCTCTCTCTCTCTCTAAGCTAACAACGAATTTTTTTCAAAAACAGAAAAAAACGATTTTGGATTCGCCTGGTAATTCTCCTGATGTCAATCCCATCGGAAATTTGTGGAACATTGTAAAGAGACGTGTGAGTGAAATTCAACAAAGAAAACAATGATTGAGAATGTTATAATAGTTTGGTTTCGTGATGACGAAATCAAAAATTTATGTTCTAATGTACATAGGGGCCCATTGCTTCATTGAATCGTAATTTCTCAGATCCCAAGGCCTCCAAAAGTCTTAAGACGTCCCGTATCGACATTCAACCTTTATCAATGCATTATTCAGAGTAAACTCTGTGGATATGAGAAGGTGAGAAACTATTTACAAAAATAGAGGCATAAGTAAAAATCTTATTTTTACATGTTATTTTCTTTATTTTTAAAACTATCATTTTTATACCCGTAAATTTATATCTTATTTTTAACATCCTTTTATAAGTTTCGCTTGTATGTAACGGAATCTTTAAATTTAATTTTTACCCACTTTAAAAGGTCAGATTAATTCGAAATTAGCTCACTTGTCCAGGACCGATGACAATACAATAATTTAATAATTTTGTTCCATTGTCCTGATCAGGATCATCAGGACTAACGATTTGCCATTTTTAGATCCCATCCCGCATCTGGCAACTCATTCCAGATCCCATTTCCAGATTTGGCGACTAAAAGATTAAGTTACACAACTTAGTCCGATTAACTATAAAAGGGTGTTTTTTAGTTTTTTTAAAAAAAAACTGTAATTTATATATATATTTGTGTTATAAGTGCGTATTTTCTCTGATTATACGGTATTTCTTACTACCATTTCTAAGATTGTTACTGTTATTAAACTAGTGTGCGTTAAAACTCATATAAACAAAAGGTGGGAAAGACAAAAGAGTCAAAATGAGGTGAATGCAACTTTTTTTTATGTTCTCCATTGTTCTGCCTTTTTGGCTTCAAGTCACGTTTCATCGTGTGTCGCGTGACTCTATCCAAATACATTCACTCACAATTACCACGAAATCATGAAAAAGGAAAGGATGAATAAAAATTAAGGCCGTAAAAATGATACAAATGCTTAATTTCTTTTATCTGGAGGCAAACATGTCCTGCACGCAGTGCATTGTTCTTAATCGTATGAGCGATTTATTTCCTTTCGTCCACTGAGTTTTGAGTTTGGCAATTCAGTTACACGATACCTATTGCTAGCTTATTCTTTTTTTGCGCCATTTGTCTTAGTCTGTTGTGTTCGAAGCATGTGTTCACGAAAAATCAAATGTTATCGAGTAAATTGAATTCTTGTGGAT